GTCCTTTCTGGCCCTGGATCAGCCCAAATTGGAAGAAGCCCATCTTGTGTGGGAGAGCCCTGAGAGAAGCGGCCAAGGTTTTCATGTGGGTGTTCTATCTTGAATGCAGAATGCCTGTATCATCCTGTCTACCTCTGTTTTTGTTCTTAGTGATTATTTTATAGTGACACAACCCACTGCTAACATGAACCAGTTTTCTCTTCTCCCACAACCTTATGGTGAGCTATGGGGACATGAACAAGGCTAGTTTCCATATCTCTGTGTGGTTTTTGTTCAAAAGCATTAGTTTGGGTTGATGAGATGACCCAGCTGATAAAGGTACCTGTAATCAAACCTTATGACCCAAGTTTGAGGCTTAGTGCACACACATATTAAATAAGTTAATAAATATGCAATGTTTTTTCAGTGTTGGTTTGAATTTGTGGTAAGTCTTGGCAATGAAAATCACTTATGAGTCAGGCTTGATGGCACACAACTTTAATTTCAGTACTTGAGTAGCAGAGACAGGTGGATCTCTGTGAGTTCAAGGCCAACCTGGTTTACACAGTGAGTTTCAGGACAGCCAGGACTATGTTAAGAGGCCCTATCTCAAAAAGAAAAAGAAAAGAGAAAGAAAATTAGTTACATTCTCATACTGTCTCCAATTTCCTCACCTTTTCATAAAATGGTGCTTACACTACATCAAATAGCATATTGTTCATAGAAGTCATTTGGATAAATTAGAGTCTCTGTGATTTTAATGAAAGGAGAGCTTTGATAATACCTCTTCCCCACAGAGACTGGTAGGGTGTGCATAATACCAGTGCTTCGGCAATGGACAGTCCTTAATTAGAGTCCTGTCATTTGGGGCTGTTATTCCATCTCTATAGGTGTTTTCAGTTTGTAAAACGCAAGATTGTTGAAACATGGAAGACTGGGCATGAGGCAACAAAATAGTGCCACTAATAAAGGAAACCATCATTGTAGTTATTAATTATTAAATCATGATGCAGAGTTGTGAGGTTCAGAGCACCAAGGCTAATTGTCTAAGACAGGTAACTAATTCACTTTGAATTCTAGGAAGGGCCTGTATAGAAATGAGCTGCCTCAAGACACCATGCACCTTGCTCTTCTATACTCAATAGAAGCTAATTCTGCAAAAACTGTCCTTATACACACCACACCTTGAGGAAAGTGGGACATGTGTCTTTCTTCTCTGTAGACACCCTGCCTGAATCTGTGTCTTCTGTGGCTATAGGAATTCAGTCACTGCTAGGACATCAGGGCTTTCTTTTCCATTTGAAGGCTCCGAGATGGTTGTAATTCCAGGAATCGTTTCTAATACTTTTAGCAGTCGATTTTTATTTTTCATTTTTTGACACTGGGTCTCCTGTATCCTGGTCTGGCCTTCAACTGGCTACGTAGCCAAGGATGACCTTGAACTTCTGACCACAGTGTTTCCACTTCTCAAGTGTTAGGATTACAGGTGTGTGCTACTACATCAATTCTATGCAGTGCTGAGAACCAAATCCATGCTAGGCAAGCATTCTACCAACTGAACTACATCTCCAGCCATATATATGTGTTGGTGTATTTATACTGCTGTGGCTCAAACCAGGGCCTTGCATATGCTAGGCAAGTATTGTACCAACCGAGCCACATCCCAGTCGTGCACTAAATTTTTCTTTAGGTTTATTTATTTAATTTTGTGTATCTGAGTGTTTTGCTTGCATGTATGTGCACCACACATATCTGGAATCCACAGAGGTCAGAAGAAGGCATGAGATCCCCTGGATCCTGTACTACTGTGCACGATTGTGAGCCAAGGTTCTGGGAATGGAACCTCATCCCTCTGCAAGAACAACCAGTGTTCTTAACCTCCATCTCCCCAGTACTCCATCCACCACCACCCCCAATTTTTGTTTTAAATTAGATTTTCTTTCAAGCTTGTTTGTTATGAGACAAGGTCTGACAATGTATCCCTGGCTGGCCCAGAACTTGCTATGGGACTCAGGCTGGCCTCGAATTAACAGAGATCCACTTGTCTCTTCTTCCCAAGAGCTGGGATTAAAGGCATACACCCCCATGCCTGACTGCTTTTTAAATAATTATTTTAAAATGTTGTGTGTGGGTGTGCATGTCTGCATAGAGGTCAGAGGACCATTTGTCAGAGCTGGTTCTTTCTACCATATGAGTCTCAGGAGCTACACTCAGGTCCTCAGTCTTGTGACAAGCACGTCTACCTGCTGACCCATCTTGCCGGTTCACATTATTTTTAATCCTAGTGTGCAATAATTCCTTACCATGTGGAGGTTCTAATCTCTTTGCCTGGGAATCACTAGTGCAAGTCAATTATCAATCTCATTCAACATAAATGCCCTTACTTTGTACTATGTATTGTTCTAAGTACCTTAGACACACCGTCTCGTATCAGCCACATCCCCCCACTCTCGTTCTAAATGTTATCTCCTCAAAGAAGCCTTCCTTTATCCAAGTTGACCTTGTCTCCACCTTTCTATTATTCCCTATCATTTCATCCTGTTTATTTCCTTCGGAATACTGATCACTATAAGCAATTAGTTACCTATTTCACTATGTGTTTGCTGTTGTCCCTCCAGCTAGACTCAGCTCTGAGAGCAGGGACATTGTTGATTTGGCTTTTCTCAGTATATCCAGGAGCAAGGGCCGTGGCTTGTTGTGTGGCACAAAGGCATGGTAAATTGATTATTTACTGAAGAAGTACGTACACATAGCAGTATGAAGTATTTTCTCCACTACTCTGATGAGGAAGACTAGAAAGTAAAATGAACTCATCGTCATTTATAAAACTGGTTGAAAAGTCTGGCTCTCCTTGACCTCAGAGTACAAGCTATTTATTTCTCTGGCCCCAGAAACAAAAGATTGAACCGCTGCTGCGGCTGTGTGTGCTCTGAAGTCTCTTTGTCTCTCTGGAACTCTCCTTTTCATTGAGAAATGAGAGGTGGAGTTAGCCATCCTCTTTATAGCGATAGTTTGTGATTTATGGTATCTGTGACTGAAGGAAGTCAATGAAGGGACCGTGAAGACTGGTTTGAGGCCTTCAAGAGTACTGATCTTGGGGCTGGGGAGATGGTTCAGCAATTAAGAGAATGTACTGCTCTTGCAGAGACCCCAGGTTAAATTCTCAGTATCATATCAGGGATAAGCCTCTTCAGGCGCCTGCGTTCAGGAGCATGTACTGCCCCCACCCCTGCCACGCATGTAATTATAAAAGTAAATTTAAAAAAAAAGAATACTGGGCCCAGAGGTGGTGGTGCATGCCTTTAATCCAAGCACTTAGGAGGCAGAGGCAAATGGATCTCTGTGAGTTTGAGGCCAGCCTGGTCTACAGAGTGAGTTCTGGGACAGCCAGGGCTACACAGAGAAAACCCTGTCTCAGAAAACAAAACAAAACAAAAAAGAATACTGATCTTCAGTCCCCTCTTTTCCTCTTTCCTTAACTGAAGATTTGCTGATTGTGTTTTATGTGTTGGCTGTAATAGGGATCCAAAGTCTCATAGAGCATAGACCTTGGCATTACAGCTGCTAGAAGTCCTGTGTCAGTACTGTAACAGTGAGCTCTGCAAGGAACACATACCACCCAGGAGGGTGGGATTAATTCCATCAGGTGTGTATGTGTTGATCAGGGTGGTGATGGATATGCATTTGTGCGTGGAGGGGGCGGGGAGAGGGTATGCCATTGACTTGAGCCTTAAGGAAAGAATAGTTCTCTAGATGGACAAGCTTTCTGCCTGTGAGGCTTTCTGGACACACAGAAAATGCAAGAGCAGCCCAGACTGTCTTAAGGCAAAGGGTCAACTACCAGGCTAGTGACGCAGAAGGAGCCCCTGAAAAGTTTGGCTTCTACTCTTGGGTATGGCTACATCTTTTCACTTGATTTTTAGAAAGCTCACTGGCTGCGGTCTAACCGGAAGTGTGTGATGAGGCAAAAGGTGTGAGTACCGTTAGGAAGCTTGGCCGTGTTCAGAGGACTGACGATGAGGACTTGGGTCTAAGGTGTTTGTAGCATTTGGAGAGGAAGGAGAAGGAATAGAGGTTTTTAAAGGTAGAGCTCTAGGGCTTGGTGATTGAACGGTGGATGGAGACTAGGGACTTATCAGAATGGGTTGGTTCCCAAGTATAAAGTGCTACCATTTAGAAACGGAGGGAATTTGGAGTCAGGTGGGAGAGATACTGCTGTTGGTTTTGGATATTCAGTTTGAAGTGCCACTTAAGAGAGCCAAGAACCCAGCATCCCCCTTCTCCCTGACCCCAGGAGCTGTCCTAGCCCAAGTTAGTCATTCTTGGGCTAATTTCCACCAGCAATCAAATTCTCCGAGGGCTTCACTAGCATTTCTGAGTTTGACATCCATCAAGGATAACAGCAGCCTACGGAAGACTTCCTGGGCACCCACTGATAAAAGTGTGGATTGCGGAGTACATGTTTGTATTGGACACTCGCTTTTGCAAGCACCAGATTACAAGAAACCATTTCCATGGAGCCTTCTCTGGCCCTGACAGGCTCTGGTTCTAAGCTGGCTCCCAAGAGCGCCCCCCACCCCCCACTTAGGGAGCTGATTTTTAAAAAGGAAATGGGGTTGTATAACGTGCAGCCTGGTTCCCCTTGACAACTGGAGAAAACCCTAAGTTTGGGCGGCTGAATCCACTTCCAGTTATTACCTCTGGAGACAAGACTCCTTGTAGCCCTGATCCTTTAAAAATGATGGGACTGGAATCATCTGTCTCAGCTCGAATATCCAGCGGTCACCAGGCGGTGGCAGGGTCGAGCAGGTGGACTCTTGGGGGGGGGGGTGCTGTTTCCAGGGTCCTCTTAGGGAAGAAGACCGCCCTGGAGGCAAGAAGCAGGCGCTCCATCCCAGCCCTGGCTACCTCCCTGATACAGCCTAGGGCTGAAGGCAGGGGCACGCCCTGTGTCCTACACCCCTGCTCCTGGGATGTTATCAGTAGCCTCTTCGTTTCTCCACCCTCTCCTCACGGCGCTAAACCCCACTGTCATGCCTATAAATCCCAAGAGCAAAGGGTGGCACGATTCCTCCCGCGCCCCTGCGGGCTGAAGGCGGGCACTAAAGCAGTGCAGTTCCAAGCTTCCCCTGCAGAAGCCACGCTCCTGACTTGGTCCGGTGATAGAGGGGGCGCGAGAGAGCAAGTGGGCGGGCGTCCCATCCTCCGCATCCTCCTCCAAGTCCTGGCGCGCAGGGAGGGAGCGCTGCGCTGCGCCGGGCTGCGCATCGCGGCCCACTTGCCGCCTGTCCCCTGCCCTGGCTGGGCCACCTCCCCGGGCTGCCGGTGGAGGGCTTCGAGGCGCTAACGTTACGCTGTTTCCGGTTTTCCAGAGGGCTCTGTTTCCCCTCCCAAGGCGGCGGCGGCTGAGCGGCGGAGCCCCCCAAATGGCCTGGCCAGATGCGGCAGGTTTGCTGCTCAGCGCTGCCGCCGCCACTGGAGAAGGCTCGGTGCAGCAGCTACAGCTACAGCTACAGCGACAGCAGCAGCAGCAGCAGCAGCAGCAACAGCAGCAGCAGAAGCAGCAGCAGCAGAAGCAGCAGCAGCAACAGCAGCAGCAGCAGCGAGAGCGGCGGCAGCAACAGCAACAGCGGCAGCAGCAGCATCTCCCGTCCCGCTGCGCCCCCAGAGCCGCGGCCGCAGCCACAGCCGCAGCCCCGCAGCCCCGCAACCCCGAGAGCCGCCGCCCGCTCGCGAGCCGCAGCCGCCGGCGGCATGAGGCGCGACCCGGCCCCCGGCTTCTCGATGCTGCTCTTCGGTGTGTCGCTCGCCTGCTACTCGCCCAGCCTCAAGTCGGTGCAGGACCAGGCGTACAAGGCACCCGTGGTGGTGGAGGGCAAGGTACAGGGACTGGCCCCGGCAGGCGGCTCCAGCTCTAACAGCACCCGCGAGCCGCCCGCCTCGGGTCGGGTGGCGCTGGTGAAGGTGCTGGACAAGTGGCCGCTCCGGAGCGGGGGGCTGCAGCGCGAGCAGGTGATCAGCGTGGGCTCCTGTGTGCCGCTCGAAAGGAACCAGCGCTACATCTTTTTCCTGGAGCCCACTGAGCAGCCCTTAGTTTTTAAGACGGCCTTTGCCCCGGTCGACCCTAACGGCAAAAACATCAAGAAAGAGGTGGGCAAGATCCTGTGCACTGACTGCGGTGAGTCGCCCCCTCCTTCTGCTGGAGAAAGGGGGGAGGAGGGAGGTGGTGGAGGATGGGGGTGGGGCGGAGAGGTGCCGCAGGTGCCCAGGCCTGGCAGCGCTCGGCCGCCGGGGGGTGGGGCCGCCCCTGGACAGGGCGCCGGTCGCGGGTGGGTGAGGGTGTGGGCTTGGGGAGAAGGAGAAATCAGGCTCAAAGTGTGCGCTAGGGGCGAGAGCTGGTGGGGAGGCGCTGGCCTGTGCCAACAGGGATCTGCGGCTGATGTATGGCATGTGGGGCTGGAAAGCTGCCATCATAGCCCAGTAGCGGAAGGGAAAACGGTGAGGTCCGGGCGGCGCTGGCCTGAGGCTCAGTGAGTCAGGAGTGACCCTCAGAGGCCTCGCCCGCTCCGCTCCCGGGGGCCTGCCTTGGCCAGGCTGGCAGGGTCTACAGGAGCAGCTGGGCAGACTCCCAGGCTGTGAAGGCCTCCGCTTACAAGTTCTCCTAGGGAATGATCGCCCCCGCCCCCTCCTTCCTCTCCCGGCTCGTTGCTCTGCTCATCCACACCGCTGGCGCAGGCAGAGTTGGACTTTTTCTGCTACTGTTTTCCGTTCTCCGTGTGGCTCTGGGCTTCCCCCCCCCCCGCCCCTCCGTCGTGCTTCGCCTGTCTTTGTTAAGAGAGTAGCCCAGCCTTCCCTTCTTAACCCCCAGAACCAGCGAGCAGACGCTCTTTTAGCCGTTTGTGAAGTATCTCACCTGGTCTTGGTGGTGGTGGTGGTGGTGATGAGAGAGTAACTTGCTTTTGCTGAATGTTTGAAGTTCAGCTCTAACATCTTCCTGGCGGGATGTATTGACCGCATCTATCTTCACAATCCTGGGTGCTGTGCAAGAATGCTGGTGATTATAAACGAAACGCAAGCCTGCACATCTGTGCGGCCCCAGGGTGAGGGGCTCCCATTCGGAAGTCAAAGAAATGATACTTTAGCAGCTTTTTCTTGTTGTCTCCAAGTCCCACTGATTTCTCAATAAGATATTTTTTTAAAGGCTGAATCTGCGATGTTTAGCGTAATTCAGGACTGTTGGATCCCTGAATTGTGATCGATCTCCTGAACTCTCATAGAAGTGGATGTATTTACCAATTTATTGACTGAACCTGGGTAGTGTAGACAGGTTTGAGTAGAAAAAAAAATATGAGTAACAGCTAGTTGGAAAATCTGCTGTCATCTTTCTAGAGCAATCAATGCCTTTGGCTTTTGGAAGCTTCCCTCCCCCTGCTCCTCTAAGAGACAAATTTTAGGCAGTTAGTTGTGGGAGTGTATCTAAGCACTGTGCAAAACCCTGATCACTTTAATGAGAAGAATCTTGAAAGTGTTTTACCATGGAGAGGAAAAACTGGGGAATGAGGGCAGTTTACGGTGCGGTTATTATTCTAAGCAATATTATTGCCTGCTTTTTAATTTGGGTTTTATGCTCTGAAAAGTTTTATGATGACAAGTTGAGACCAGCTAAGAATCTCTCTCTCTCTCTCTCTCTCTCTCTCTCTCTCTCTCTCTCTCTCTCTCTCTCTCTCTCTCTTTCTCTCTTTTAATTCTATTAAGTATTTTATCTGAGATCCCTTGGGGAATTGTGGAACTAATTGTATTGTGCAGTGGGAAGAAGATAGTAAAAACATGTATTGAACCTTGTCCAAGGACAGCTTTTGTTTGGTCTTGGTGAATTGCTCCTGAATATGCACAGTGTATGTGCGCACATGATCCCTCCTCAGGGTCACTGAGGACTGATAGCTATTGTCAACCACTGTCACAACAGGAACTCCTGCCCTTTGTCCCCATAGTGTCTTATGTCCTTGCACCTTGGTTGTTTGAGTGAGCATGTCATAGTTTCAACAGTTGCATGCAGAGATCATGAGAGATTTGAGGTCATGAATATACTCTGCTTTTAGACTTTGGGCATGTCGTATTATTTATGTGTAGTATAGTTCTTGCAGAGATAAATTTAGGGCTGCAATCACTTGTAAAGGGAAGGCCCTCACACATCATAAATTATCGAGGAGCAGGAATGAGTATGGAAGCAAATATTTTAGAATAAAAAAAAAGTGCCAGGGATGATAGTGTACAGATAGGCATCAGAGAAGCTTTACATAAGAGGATTAGGAACTAAAGGGCATTTTTGTGAGAGGAGACTTATGGAACTGGAGATAATGTGACAGAAGAATATAAACTATGCTTTCTTATTTTCTGTTATGCAGTTAAAGAAAACATGTGCTGTAATGGCATATTAAATGAGGAAACAAAATCAGCCTAACTAACCACAACACCTTCCTTGTGCTCAGCAGGAAATAGCTAACACATTCATTTTCTGTTTTCTATTCTAAAGAAAGCCCTGTGGGCCACAGGGTCATTGGGAACATTCTCTCCTTGGAGCAGATTTGCCCATTGCAAAATAGGGAAGCTGGCACTTGGAAACTGTCATTGTAGCCGTTATATTGAGCAACTAGGGTTGAATTGTTACTTTGTTCAGGCAGTTTCTGCTCTGAGCTGTCTGGGCTCCAGAGGTGTGGTTCCTGGAGAGGTCTTCTAGAAACTATGTTTGGGGAGGGGACTTAGGGGTGATGTGCCATATGGAAGGATATATTGTGCTTAAAAGCACCATTCCTCAGTCACATCAACCCAAGGATCATCCTGGATCCCTCCTAGAAGGTCCTCATAATGGCTAGTTGCAACTGTGAAGTGTGGTCTGAGAGTCTGGGATCTAAGGTAGAGTGGTAGCTAGGGGTCTGTCTGGAAGAGCCATGCCTAACCAAAGGGGCGTCTTTTGTAGATCCGATGTATAGCATTAATCAAAAAACGACTACCTCTAGTGGTAAAGAGTAAAATCTTTGCATTTCCAAGAAATTTGCATATATGGAGATGTTTTCTGAGCCTTCTGTGGAAAGGAGAGGTGGAGCTACAAAGGCCTTATTAGGGACGGTGTAACTCTGCCACGCTGCCGCAAGCTTGTCCTGTTCTTTGCATAGTGCTCTGCTGTAAGGGGTGCTCATACGTACTTGGTATAATCACAGCCCATCTTGTTCCTTTCTCAGATAAATGTTTTTAAGCCATTTCCTAATTGAATATGTTCAGGAGACAACAGGAAAGAAGACAGAGGCTTCCCTTTGGGACTTGCTGACTTGTGCTTCTCCGGTGTGAGGTGTGCTTCTGGGGACTTTGAAACCAATCTGGTACCCGGATTCACATATCAGAGGAAGGTGGTTCACAGAACTCAGTATAGCAAAAGTGGCCGCATATTTTTAAAACGCTGTTTATTTGCAGAATCTTTTCTTCCCCAGCCAGCTGGGAAGCCAGCTGTGCTGCAGCTTGAAGATGGGAAAGTGAAACCAGATTAGAAGCTGTCCGGTCCCGGGGGCTTGGTTATAGGTGCAAGGACTGAATTGCCACCCTAATGCCATTATTTCTTGCGTGGTTGCTTTCCTTTGCAGAGTCCAATTTGTGGGACAGAAATAACACCTTATCTTTGAGATCCTCTTTGTCCTCACTTCCTGCCCCGGCAGTGTTTGGTACTATGTCTAGCTTGGACACTCTTTTGAGTGGATGAAGTCAAGTTCATAAAAGGCACTCCCAGGTTCACGTGGAAACAATCTCAACTTTCTGATCCGTGACACCAAGTTTTGTGCGGGGAAAGCTGAGTCTGATGGTAGCCTTTACCTGTCACCATGGGAACCCATTTTCTTTCCCTTTTTTCTTCTCCCTGCTCCAAAGGAGCCCTTATCAATTAGAGTACTTGGTCACAATCTGCTTAATCACTGTGGTGATTAATGGGATCTGAGAGGTAGGGAAGAAAGGTCTAGCTAGAGAAGGTGCTCTCTGGGGGTAGGGGTGGGGGTGGGGAGGAGGGAGGCTACCATACCCCCTCCCAAATTTAAATGCAAATAAAAGTATTAGTTTGATCAGCAAATGTTTTGGGATCTCTCCAGTCTGATTAACAGTCTAACTGACTAACTTCCTCTTAGCTACTAATCAAGGCATTTGTAGCCTTCTTACCATCCTTTATTACCAGGGCATTTAAATTTAATTCTCTAATAACAGCTTATTTTTAAAATGAAGCTGCTCTTATATTTTTGTATAAGGAACATATTTTTATGGCTCAAAATTCAGCAGGTACATCAGAATGTAGAGTGCAAGTTTTCCCCTTCCTTGTCGTGCCTGCCCTCACCTATCCTGCTCCAAAGCAATTGTAAAAATAGTTTAGTTTTGAAATGTGTCTTTCCCTAAAAAGAATTTTTTCATAGTGTTGAATTTTTCTCTTTCTTTCTTTCTTTCTTTCTTTCTTTCTTTCTTTCTTTCTTTCTTTCTTTCTTTCTTTCTTTCTT